TTTGACCCCATACTGCAGCTTTCCACACTATGATTCTGAGATTCCAGCACTTTGAGACATAATATCTCCGGCAATATTTTGTTGAGAGAAACAAAATTTGGCCATTGTAAGGAACTACTTCAATCCACATCTTAAGAAAGCAGAACTCTTGGAAACGATCTCTTCCAACAGGAACTTTTATTAAGAAAAATTAATAGCAGACATGATAGACAGGATCTGAGGGATTCCCTCACAAATCGATGTTTTAAAGTGTCCCTAAGCAATCCCACCCCGCAGTTCTTCCGAGCGATTCAGACCGCAGATTTCTAGGTGTTAAATCCAGGAAAGATAACATCAATCTGCCTCCATTGTACACGATCATTCAACAGCTCCTCACCCCTTATTTTGATGGCAGATAAATAAACTAGATCCAGGGGCTGTATCTTTTCAATCCCCTCCCTTTTCTATCTGCCCGCTAAGGAGAAGTTCAGAGGGGCATAGGATAAGAGGCAAATAGTTACATTGTAATGGTTAGCAGAGGTGAATAAACAGGTTACTTTGTAGTGAATAGAGGAAGTGAAAGTAATAAAACCTGCATGCATATCCCCCCTCCCCCTTGGGAGTATGGCAGGATCCAGGAAAGGGAAAGAATTGCTTTTAGATCAGAGGAGATAGATAGAAAGGAAATATAATTGGATCCTAACAACCATCTTGTACAACTTTTTGTGCGTTATTAAACAAAATAATAAATAAACACATTCTCATGAGCAATCTCCATCTAGAAGATAATTTGGAGCAAAGTTGGCCAAAAATATTGTGGCTCAAAAAAAAGTTTAAAGTTTGGCTTTTTATATCTCTGGAAGGAAAGGTATGATAAACATGAAACTTTGCATGTAATACTTTAGCAACACAAGCTTTTCAAATATAAAATTTCATTCTCCTGTAGCTTTCCAATAGTTTACAAATTGAGTGTAAAGTTGATGTTTTTTGTAAAAACACCAAAATAGGGTATTTTCAGTCTGCTTTTACAAAAAAAGACCTTCTGGAAACTCTGTTAAATCATTCTCATTAGAAAGAGCATGTTTCAACCCTCCTAAAAAAGTAGGGCTGGTTTTTCATCCCTGACGTATAAAGAGTTGAGGACATTGCTATGGCAATGTCACATGTATTCTATTATTTTTTTATCTTGTCTGTTTTATATAGATATTATTACTACTATTGTATTGTGTTGGTCTATGGTGACATTGTCACTACCAGTTCAGGCACTTGAACCAGCAACCCCATTGCCATAGGGGGCACGCCCAATAGCCGTGCAGCACCAGCCACAGGTGGGTTTCTTGGTTCAGGATCCCAAGCCTGTAGTTTGGTTTCTTCTTCGAGGTTCCAAAGCCTTGTGTGGCTGCAACCCATTTAACAAACAAAATTACATAGTTAAACATGGGCTGTTGAAAGTCGATCTAGCCATGTCCAATGATTTAACAAAAGTGGCGAAAACAAATGTGAAGCTGGGTCAAAAGATTTGTTCCAAGTGTAAAGCCAAAAATGTTTCCATGGTCCAAAGCATGGCAGAGTCTTCATCATTGGATAATTATGATATGGACATTTCAGACACTGTTAATCCAAGTTTGACCGATTTAGGGACTTCTCCATTAAAAATTCGTAAGTTTAGCAGTAGGGATAAAAACTGGCTACATCATCAGTGCTAATAAGGAGTGCTGTTTGCTGTTTGGTTTATATTCTGGTGTCTTGCCTGTCTGTGTGGATGGGGGAGGTGTGATCTTAGGGATTCTTTGGTTGGGCTGTTTGCTAATGGCTCTGTAGCAGTTTCTTGATTGGGTTATTGCTTACTTGATTGTTGGTCTGAAGGTGACCTTGGGGTTAATCTATGCTGATCTGAGTGCTGATTACTAGTGGAGAGGTGCTGGACTCTTTTTCTTTTTGGGCTGGTTGATTGTCTCTTTTGCATAATTATAGATGGGCAAAGGAATAATATCCCACCTTTCACATAGGAAATTAAAGTTTATGATAGAAATAGAAAGTCTTAGGAAGTGTCATTTTAAGTTTCTAATTAACTTTGTAAGCCAATTTTGCCCTCCTTCCATTCTGAAACAATTCTGGAATAATTCCAAAATCCTGTGGCTGTGCAGTGGTTAGAATGCAGCATTGCAGGCTAACTCTGCCCACTAGCAGGAGTTCGATCCTGAATGGCTCAAAGTTGACTCAGCCTTCCAGGTCAGTAAAATGAGGACCCAGATTGTTGGGGGTAATATGCTGACTCTGTAAACTACTGAGAGAGTGCTGTGAAGCAACAGGTTTCCCAACCTTTCTGGCTTTGCAAACAGGTGGGACAGGGGAGGAAAGGGGATGGTTCTGTGTGAGTGGCATGTGTGTGCATGCACACAACTCCGTTTTCACAAATGGAACTACCGGCAAGGGCGTACTTGCCAACCACTGATCATGCAAATGGAACTGCACACTCACCCACCACTTCCATAGCCCAGTTCTAAACGTGCCATGGCCCACTACTGGGCCATGGCCCAGGGATTGGGGACACCTGATGTAAAGAACTACAAAGTGGTATATAATCTAATTGCTATTGTTACCCTTTATTATCTGTTATGTGCTTATGGCTACTTTCCTTCATGACCAGAGGCAAGCTCTCCTGACCAATAACCAGCCAAGACACAGTGAAGGCCTTTTGTTTCATTTATTGCAATAAGCAGAGAGAGAAGCTATCAAAGCTTGGTTCTCTCCAAAGTTCCAACCAAAAATATTCCCTTCTTTATACAATCCTTTCCCGGCTACACATCCCTCCTCTTTCCCCATTGGCTGAGTTATTATGAGGTTACACTCTTTCCGTCCGCTTCTTACACATTTCCTGCTAACATATTAAATTATGTTCACATATACAATAATAAGAAAAATTAGACATTTAAATAGTTATTTTGAGCTCTGTGGATATTTATGTCTCCCTTTTAGAACAATAGGTTCTTTCCTGTTTTTCAGTTTAGTTAAGTTTTCTTGGCTAGCCATTTCCTCTTACAGATGTTTTTCCTGTTTTCCCACTCTAAGACCCAGCTAATTTTTGCCTACATATTTATCTTACATCCTGCCTTTATGTTATCCTTTCCTGATTCTCCACTTAGTAAATTTCCACTGCTGCAAATTCAATTTTAAATTTCTCTTTCAATATTAAATTTTTGAAAACCTTCCCTTTACTTCTATCATTATCTAAAGTAGCACTTTCCACTAACCTTCTGAACAATACATACATCATGAGTTTTTATTTTAAAAAGCAAATTTGCAGTCTAATGGAACAGACTCTCAATCGCCCTTCTAGAATACAGCAGAATATTCATGTAAACTCAGGACAATTCTGAGGCCAAGACCTGTGGACAAAGGAATAGAAGACTGAAGCACGGTTAAAAAGGGTTTGGGATTATTTAAATACACTTTCATAGAAATGTGTGTGGGAAAGTAAGAACCCATACTTTGCCCACAGCTTGCTGCTTCCGCTTCACCGCAGTGCTAAAGTTGCACATCACCTTCTCTCACCAACCCCAATACAGGTAGTCCTCGACTTACAATAGTTCATTTAGTGACTGTTCAAAGTTATAGTGGCACTGTAAAAAGTAATGTATGACCATTTTTCACACTTATGACCATTTCAGCATCCCCATATCATGTGATGAAAATTCAGATGCTTGGCAACTGACTCATATTTATGACAGTTGCAGTGATCTGGGATCGTGTAATCACCTTCTGATATGCCATGTCAATGTGGAAGCCAGATTCACTTAACAACTGTGTTACTAATTTAACAACTATAGTGATTCACCTAACAACTGTGGCAGAAAGGTTGTAAAATGGGACAAAATTCAATTAACAAATGTCTCTTAGTATCAGAAATTTTGGGCTTAATTGACGTCATAAGTTGAGGACTACCTGTACTAACATGCCTAAACCGAATTACACTAACTTGAGACTCCGGAGAGAGAAGGCATGATTCGATATTAGAAGCCTGGTGATGTACTACTAACTCATTCAATTAATAACAGCTTCAAATTACCGAATACAAATATATACATGTATATATCAGAAGGATTTATATTTATAAATCTTCTAACAATTATACCCAGTGCTTTTTTTCTAAAAAAAAAAAAAAAAAGTGCCCACGTTATACAACCCGCCTTGCCTACCCTACAAGGTTCCATCCAAAAAAGGTACCGGAACTCCGTTCTGAGAAAAAAAGCCCTGATTATATGCATCCGGATGCCAACTAGCTTCTCCGTTCCGAGGTTTGCTTACTTTCGTCCGTCCTGTTTATCTTACTCGTAACCGCAGCCATAATTCTGCAGCCTCGGCTTTCGGTCGTTTTCTTATTGCGTAAATGCTTCTCAACGTCATCTCACTATATTTTCTGCGGAATATATAAAGCACTGCCCATTTCTCCTTGACCATAGAGATAAAAAATGCGAACCCTTTTAAGGGGTTCTCATGCAGGAAACGCTATGTAGAAAGCGAAATTTCAATACAAAATTCCTATTGTAGCGAAAGAATTGTGGTTCCGACCTCAAGTCATAGCTCGATTTGAGGGTAGTAATCACTTACTATAGTTACTTGGGAACAAATTCCTCAGAACATATGGAAGCCTTCGGAATGTAGTAAATGCTAAAGGTTGGCTAATACTAAATGTTCACGTAGTAAAAGAAGAAAAATGCTTTATTTTGCTGGGCAATACTTTTGCTGAGTATTACGGTAAAACAGTTACGTGTGAACTAGCGCGTGTCCACTTTGACCATAAGCATTACTGCCTCTGCAGTAGCAACTGGAAAGCAGGAGCCGTGAGCTTAAGAGCAACATGCACTTAGATTCACAGCCAAACACTCGCACAAATATTTACAAAAAGTACCTGTCTTTTTTTTTTTTCTTCCCCACCGGAAATAAAGCACAATTTGAAAAGAACACGAGATCTTCCCTAACGTCCCGCACCGGAAGGGGGAAAGAAACAGGATCATTTTTTACAGACCACAGTGGGCTGTACATAAGCTGGGATTGTGTTCAGATCAACCTCTGATAACTTCACAAGACGAAGAATGTGCAGAGATATTTGATTTATTTGTTTAGGAAGCGGTTTGCCATTGTCTTCCTTCTGTCGTTCCTTCGCGCCTGACGGAACTTAATCCGTTTTGGCGAATGGAACTGAACTGAACCGAGTAGGGTAAGTGGAATCGTACGGGAAGCGAGATCGAGCCACGGCGCCAGAGAAGAGACGATTTTCTCCCCGGAAAAGAGAAGCAGCTTACTATGCCAGGCGGGGTATTATGGCACTGTAAGGTTAAAAACGTGTCTTATTCCTAAGGAACGAGGTACAGTATTGGTCCCGAGAACCTCTTCACATTTACTAGGCACCTCAGGAAAGCAGATTCCACAGGCGTCCTTTTTCGAAAATATAGTTGGCGTGAGAACAATCAGTGGAACGGCTTAACTCCAGAAGTTGTGGGTGCTCCAACAATGGAGTCTTTAAAGAAGAGGTTGGACAGCCATTTATCGAAATGTTTAGGGTCTATTGCTCGAGCAGGTCCCTTCCAATCCTATTATTCTGTGTTATTTGTCCTTAGTGATTTTGGAGGCAGGATTTCTGAATATCTTTCAAAACAACATTTTTTATCAGTCGCAGCAAATCAGCAAAAAAAAAAAAAAAAATTGAGACATGATCTCAATCCTGAAACAGTTAATTCTATAATATGGAGTTTGTATAACAAAGAACGGACTTAAATTACTTAATTTAATCTTAGACAACTACATAGACGTTCTTCTGCATAAATCCAACATTCACTAGGTTGATCCAACTAAGTGTGTATACGAACTAGTCAATAGTAAATAGGTTTCACCGATAATGTCAATCCTGCCTCAGCTCCAGCCTTTAAGTAAGAACTATCCTTGACCCCATTTACCAAAGCCAGAACTGAAATTTGTGTGCCAAAATCCCTAAGTTTAACTCCCCCATCCCAGCCACCTCCAAAGGCTGGTCTCTCATTGTCCAGTCATATTCAAATGAAGTGTTTTGGGAATGGTCTCTTCAACTATGGGCTGGCCAGTATGCAGCTGCATGCCATTTCCAAAGGACCTTGAAGTTGTATCTCCAGGAGGCACAGTGAATAGAGAACTCCCCCCCCCCCCCAGCTCTCTGTCCCCAAAGTACATAGCAGACTGGTACATAGCAGACTGGTATCAAGCAAATGTTCTGACAGATGTATTGGTATTTACTTCTGAGAAAATAAAGTATAATAATTAAAAATGTGCATTTACTCTATATAATGTAAAACCTTAAACTAATCAACAATAACTAAAGATATTTTGGTACTATTAATCATACCTCAATATTTTTCCTTAACTAGTACTTTATAATCTGTCCTTTGAAGGACTTCTAATGATAAAGCCTCTCCTACCAAAAAGCAGTGGCAATTCAGAGTAAATAATTATAACATGTTATCTTTTACACTAGGAAATAGGAAGTAGAAGTGTTTCCTAAAGAAAAAAAAAATTGGGATTTCACCATCTGTAAAGTTGAAGTATGGAGTCATTCCATCTGTTGATTAGGAAAAGTGGAAGTTTGACAGTATTTACAACACTGTTGAGTGAGAAAAATATTTTTCATAGATCTCTCACTATTTCTTTGCCTTTTTATAAGAAGAAAAGAACAGGGTATGAAAACATTGACTCCCCAAAATATGGAAATTTGATCCATTACCTCACTTCAGGCAAAGATAGATCTGACAGATCCAAACTGTTTGAAGAAGACAATGCAGGGTATCAATACAAATTTCCAGCTCATAAAACAAAAACAAAACTTCTTAAGAACTGGATTCCCTTAATGAATCCCAAGAAGAGCTCTTGGCATCAGAAAATTCACCCAAGGCTGCCTTTACAAATTGATATCCAAAAGAATAACTGGGCCAGTGTGACATCTGTTCTGCACCAGACAATGCCTGTAGAACAGGCTTTTTACCTGGAGAAGTGGAAACAGCGAATGATTCTAAACCTTGGGAAAGAAGGTTTTGAAGAATATGTTAAAAGTAAGTAAATAAATACATTAGGAATTTATAATAATTCTAAACACATTTATGCATTGTTTTTACTTATTAGATTTATTCCCTACCCCCACCCCCATTTGAAGTGTATGTGCTTGCTCCTCCCATTTTTCTCCACAATTAAATAGAATTTATGTATGGCTGAGAATAAAATGAAAAATTGATAATATAAGCTCATAATTCAGATCTTTGCCTCTGTAACAACATTTTGTCATTTTTATTGTATTTGATTATAACAGCAATCTAGATGCAGGCTTCTAGACAAAGCGTGTATAATTTCCACTTTTTATTTTAGTTTTTTTTAGTTATGTATTTTATATTTTTATTTATTTATATGTATAGTAAATACCTAAGGTTTAATTGGATTGAGATGATGTTAAATTTGATAAATATAACACCTCGCTCCAATAGTGTCTCAATAGTGAATTTTATTCCTTTAATATATATCGAGATTTTATGTAGAAAATATTATAAGAATATATTATTTGGTTGTGTTCTTGCCTACCAGTAATCCTTCTGATTTTTTCCACTGATTTATGTTAATAAAGTAGCTTAAATTATTTCCAGCTTTGTTAATATTTCTTAATAATCTTTGTTAAAAGTGCTGTAGAAGGTATTGCTTTAGGAATGGAGAGACTTGGCTACTGTGTGATTTTGGATCAGTGTCTCTCTCAGCCCAACCTATTTCATTGAGAATGCTGTAAAATATGAAGATGTATCCACTACACATCCTGCTTTGAGTTTCTATGTGAAAAGCAGGATATAAATCCAACAGTGTATAGAATGTCTGCCTTGGTTGTTCGATTTTCTGTTTTTCACCTACTAAGGAATGGTTGCATCTCAGAAAAAAGTTAAATAATTTTGATTATTTTTTTTCTCAGTGTTTATCCCACTTATTTTCAGAGTTTACAGGTAGTCCTCGACTCAAATAGTTCATTTCGGAACTGTTCAAAGTTACAACCGCACTGAAAAAAGTAACAATGACCATTTTTTACATTTATGACTATTGCAGCATCTCCATGATCATGTCAAAATTCAGATGCTTGGCAACTGGCTCATATTTATGACCATTATTGTGTCCCAATAACATGTGATCAACTTTTGTGACCTTCTGACAAGCAAAGTCAATGGAGAAGCCAGATTCACAACAGCCATGTTGCTAACTTCACAACTGCAGTGATTCACTTAACTGCTGCAAGAAAGGTCATAAAATGGGACAAAACTCACTTAAATGTCTCACTTAGCAACATAGATTTTGGGTTCAATTGTGTCATAAGTTGAGGACTGCCTGTACTTGTTTTGCATTGCTTTCACCTGATGTATGATATGATAAGGGGAAGTCATTTTTCAACCAACTTCCCTAAAGATGGGCTCCAGTACGAGTCCGAAAACTTGGAAGATAAAATCTCTGATTTCACTGACTGATCCAGATTGGAAAGAAAGACTGTCTGGTATAATCATGAATTATCTTTGACTCTCTTTTCTTTGTGTTTTATAAATGATTGGTACTTTGCAGTGTGGAAAACACAACATGCATAGTCCGGCACAAAGTCTGCTATAAATAAATAATGAAAAAAAGATTGTATGACATTGCTCAGTTTTCATATTATCCTAAGTTAAAGCTTTATCTGATTATTTTGAAAATATAATATCAATGTCACTTTTTTGCCTGCTTATTGTTACTAAATTCCTAACCCTCTTTGTAGTGATTTTCTTTCTTAAAATATTTAACTTCCCATAACATGCATTATTTATCATCCTTATCTATTTGGTCATGATTTTTCTGATGCTTAATTTCACCACAGTTGAAAGCATCCTTTCTTTTCTCCTGAATTCATGTAACCACATTATTTTTCATGTTTATTTCTGATTGTATTTCATTACATTTCATCCTTTTTTTTTGTAGAATCAAGATCACATGAGATGTTAGTATTGCTTTATAATGCCTTGTTAAGACCACACTTGGTATATTGCATCCAGTTTTGGTTGCCATGATATCAAAAAGATGTAGAGCTTCTAGAGTGCAGATTAGAACAACAAACATTATTAGGAGACTGGAAGCTAATATATATATCAACATTTGCAGGAACTGGGTATATGTAGTCTAATCAAAATAAGGACTGAGGAGGATATGATAGCAGTCTTCCAATATCTAAGGGGCTGCCCTGAAGGGGGGTCAACCTATTCTTCAAAGCAGCTGAAGGCAGTACAAGAAGCAGTGGATGGAAATTAAGCAAGGAGAGATCTAACTTAGAAAAAAAAATTCTGACAGTGAGAACAATGAATCAGTGGAACAGCTTGTCTTCAGGAGTTTTGGGTTACTGGAGGTTTTTAAGAGATTGTACAGCCATTTCTCCAGCATGATGACAGAAGAATCCACCAATGGGTTATTTCAGTCCTCCTGCCCAATCAGACCAAGTTATCAAGTTGTCACATCTCCTCATTATCTGGGACCTCCCAGTTTTCATCTTGGTCTTTCGCCCATGAGGACATGATATCTTGACTCTCTGTTGTTTGGAGCAGGTCAGACTAGATTTTACAGATTCATTGGTGGGTTCTTAAGATTAGGAGAATTAGTAGAGATTATTTTCCTTTCTGGAACTTCTGAACTAGTTTCCCTTCCTTCGGGGTTAGGATAGGACTCCTCTCCAGGACTGGGGGGGGGGCTCTTTTCCGAATCCAGCAGTTTGCTGAATCATTACAAGAATTCTTACTAAAAGAAGTGGGGAGAGTTTCCCTTCGTGCAGGTTATAGGGGGATTGCTTGTTTACCTTCCCAGTAAGTGCGTATGTGGTTCTTTCATCTGGTGGCTGCCATTTTGAAGCCTCGTGGCTTCTTCTATGACCGGGCTCGGTCAGAGATCCTTATAGCGGCCGCCATTTTGGATTCGCGGAACACCTTTTTGACGAAAATTTTGATTTGCTGCAACACCTCTGAGGGGCTTGCTAGAGCAAGCGACGGGGGAAATCCCTTTTGCTGACTTTTTTATTTGCTTGTAACTGCTGCTGAAGAGGAGGGAGCCTCATGGTGCGGTGATGAGCGTTTTCGCACCTAACAGCTGTTAGGCGCAATTCCCAACTCAGTTCCCTAAATAGGTAGAAAGCCTCGAATTTAGCCCCATTTGATTTTAGCTACTTTGGACTGTATTGGAGGCTCAGCTTAGTCTCTTCTTCCAGTTCCCTTCTCCCTCACGGAACCTAGAACATCCGCCATTTTGGGGACATATTTCCTCTGGGCAACGCCCATTTCACACCCATGCTAGGACGCCATTTTCTGTGAGTGCAAAAAAGGGGGGGCTTATTTAGCATAGTTCACAGAACTTTCATACATTGACATCATTTGTATTAATTTCATTTTGAGCCATAGTGTTTCAGAAACTACCTCCCTATTGAAGACATCTGTTATCACAAGAATGTGGATTCAGCAGCGGCACTGGTCCTTCAGGCCTGATCGCCATATTGCCTGTCTGCCCTTCTGCATCTAGTGGCTGCTTCACGATCCTGATCATTGCCACTATTGTGGGACACATTTGATTTCACCACCAACCATTGCGGAGTGACGGGCGCTTCTACGCCAATCGTGAGTTCAGGTTAGCCAGTGGGCCAACTCACGACAATCCATGTGAAGTCAGTCCCCCTTCACGGGGGTATAGGACGTCCCTTGCAAACCGAGTCAGTCCCAAAGTCACCTTTGGGTTGCATCTCGATGGAAATGGCAGAAAACACTGAGCCACATCCTTTGGACATGGACATCACCCCAGTCCAAGCGGAGCCAGCACCAGAGCCACCTTCAGGTAAGGCCAAAACCAAATCTACGCACGGTAGGAGGGCTGGCACGGCAAGTGACAGGCAGGCCGACCATACACACAGAGCCCTGGAGAAGCAATTCTCCCGGGCCAAGCGCTTGTCTGCTGGAAGAGGTCTTGAACTTTCGAACCCCACACCACCTGACACAGGAGCACCTCAACCGTCCACTTCGAGAGCTTGGTCGCCTGAAAATGTGCATCAGCAGGTCCCGACTCAGACCTTTGGTCAGGTAGGACCACCTCTGTTTGGGGAGGACCTTAATTTGCCCAGCCCATCGGCAGCACCCACCGCTGCTATCGCACCACCTGCTGCGTTAAGGCCTCCGCTAGAGCAGTCTTTCTCCAGCCAGCTCCGAGAGTGAATATCACAGGCTGTGTTCCAAGCCATGGCGTCAATGGGTCACCAGCAGACGTCTTCCATTCTGGGGCCTTCTGCACCAACAACCGCCACACATCCTTCACTGGAGCGGTCAGGTATGGTCTCCCCATCCCATTCTCCTGATTCCGACTCTAATGTTTCAGATTATGAGGGAGGTAAGGACGATTGGTCGGATTGCGAGGAATCCACTTATGAATCTTAGCCTATGTCAGAGCTGTTCAATGCTTCGCTTTTTCCTGCCTTGCTGCGCAGAGCCTGTGAAGCGAGTAAGCTTTCCTCCCACCAGGTCCCAAACCCCCAGTCTTCCTCTGATCAGGAAACTAATCCCCTGTTTGCTGAACCAGTAGACAAACACCTCCAAATTCCCTGTCCCCCGTTATTGCTCAAAAATATTCAGGGACAGTGGGAGTCACCTGCTGCTCAGCCAACTCAAGGTGCGACTGAGCGCAAAATAGTAGACATGACAAAGACTTTAGCAGACGTCTTGGAGGTTCCAAAGGTAGATGAATCTCTGGCCCCACTATTTTCAACTGCCAGTCTCCCGGCAGATGTATTGGACGCCCTTAAGGCAGAAGATAAAAAATCCGAAATGGCCTTGCGCAAGGCACATTTGGCATCTGCCTGGGCAACTAAGGCAGCAACAGCCACTTCCTTCTTTGCAAGGATCTCTATTACATGGCTTCATCAGTTACAGGAGAGAATTCCGCTGGAAGAAACCAGGATCCATCAGGATTTGACCAAATTATTAGCCACATCTGAGTATATGGCGGATGTCTCCCTGTATTCGGCCAAACATTCAGC